AACAATCAATAATACAATGTTAAAAGGATATATTTATGCCATTATAGTTAGATTTCTATTAATTGAGTGATCTCTCAACTAATAAGGTATGATTTTGCTAAGTTAGATTAATTAATTTTTTTTTAATGATTTTTCTTGATTTTTTTTGTTAATAATGTACATTAATTTATGTTCTTTTCTCCATCACAAAATACCAACTTCCCCCATTTTAAGAGATAATGTTTAAAAAAAAAAAATTCAACTCTGAGACTCCCCTACTTCAACGTGCTGGCTCCGCCCCTGCTTCGTAGTGCACCACTACTATTGTTTGAGCATAATCCATTTTATGACTCCTCCAGCTGCGCAGTCTCTATGCTATTGGTTTTAGTCTGTTGAGTAGCGGTCCTTCAATATTCTCAAGTTCTGTTTAACAACATAAGTTATTTTTTGCTTCATCCAATAGGTAATGAATAAGTTTTGCTTGCCTCCATTCCTGGGCCGCGATGTCTCACGTCTAGATTTCCCTTTTCGGACTACTAATTTCAAAAAAGATAATTGATCTTAGCATTGCAAATAGAATTCCTATTGATTGAATCACCTACCCTGATTTATACTCTTCTAACTCTTTTACTAACCGTAACGTTATTTTCTTCAAGTAACAGAAAATAACTTCAACCTACCCTGGTTCTGTAATTAATTAGTGTATTATTTTCAACGCACTTTTGCAAGAATGCTCATTGTACATATGAGTTTCGTCTTGTTCTCTTCTCTTTTTCCTCATCATCAGGCACTCCTTCATCGTAAAAAATTGGATTCACCATTTTTGTTTGTGCTTACGGAGGCACTTTCCAATTGCAAATTGAATTATGGGTTAATTATGTATGGATTCCATTTGTTACAAAAAATTCGATGCTAAATGATGGAACTGAACAAAATGAGCTAAAATGGAAGAAATTCAGAGTTTGGATACCAAAATGAAAATATTTAATAGTTTATTCGAATCGTAAAATGATGATCGGAGATTGTTAGGAGTCAACTGATAGTCTGATACAAAGGATGGGCAATGGATTGAAAAATAACGAAAAATGACCAAGTGCACATTATGAAGACCTCAAGGAACAAATTGCAAAAAGTCCAAAAATACCTTTACCTCTTGTGTGCTGGCCCGCGCAAGTCACCAAACTGGAGACCAACATTGTTGTGAGACGCGTGGCTCGGTGGGCATAGCCATGCACGCGTGGGGCGTTTCGACATATCAATCAACAGTTCCTTTTTCCTTCTTGACTCTTTTGGAATCTAATTTGAACGTGATTTTGATCTAATTTTCGACAATGATAAATAAAAAACGTGGGCTACATATTGGAGGATATCTCCCAAACCTCTTAATACCCATTAATATCATAAAATTCATCAAGAACAAGATGCATATTTACATATTTGCGAGTAAAGATTAACCTAGCAAGTATTTAAATGCCAATTACATCAAGAATTTGGAGATTTCGAGCTTCGAATTGGTGATCAAAATCTCTTTCTTTCATACATGTTCCGAATGACATTGATTCATTATTATTCTTGTAATTTATATGAAATAGATCATTATTGATATTGGATTCCGAATGACATTGATTCATTATCGAATGACATAGATCATTATTTATATTGGATGAAGATGAACCATTTTGTTTTTTGTTTTTAATTTGAGACAACTAATTTAGTTAATTCTTGTCTTCCTTGAATAATCTTGCATGCTCGTTACATTATTTAAACTCTTGCGCACCATTTAAATAATTAATTATTTGTTGTAGTGTTGGAATACTCACAATAAGTAAAACACTGCATGATTATCACACGAATAATAGATGTTAAGAATAACATGTATAACGTTTGCAATTTCTTTGATAATCATGTCCTGGAGCGTGTTCTATTTATATGAATTCGGATTAGGAATAGAACCGAATTATGCCTAGAATAAACTTAGCAACTGTCTGGGAGCAATTCTTAAATAATTTTAATAATTTTTTTGACTATTGGCATCTGACAATTGTCCCTGACTACACTTAATTAATCTTGAAAAATACAGTAATTCTATCATTTAACACGGGTAATATAGACTATTTCATTAGTTCTTGTCTTTTTTATAAAACTAGTTTGAC